CCTATGGAACTTTCAAAGGCTTTTCTAGCATTTTCCTAGGAATGCTCGATCGATTCAGCCCAAGTCCGGGCGCCGATACTTGTGGCACTTGAATGTACCCTAGACCGATGGTAAATCTGGGAGGTACCCCAAAAGTCGACTTTTTGGGTACCTGCTTTGGTGGTGATGGGTTGGGTCACCGGGAGAAACCGATCGATTCAGCACAAGTCCGGGCGCCGAGCGTGGTCATCAATCACGACCCACTGCTGTCCCGCACACATCTCAGCCTTGTTCTCCTTCACAGCCACCACTTCGGCCCTCAGGCAAGTCTGCCGCACAGTCCCCTTCCCTCCGGCCATAAAACTAATGAGCAGCGCCCTGTCGCTCCACCCGCTTCGGATCTCCCGCGAATCCACTCTTCCAGCTCCGGTGTACCCGATCCTCTGTTGCCGCGCCTGTGCGACAGACCAATGCCCCTCATGCTGCCCTTGCCTCTTCCTGTCTACCTTGCCACCAAGCTCCGAGAACACATAGATTGCCCCGCAAGAGCTCCTATTCCGCCCCGGCTGCAGCACCGAGCCCTTCTGGCGAGACACGATGCTCCACAAAGCTTTGTCACAAAACATGCCCGTGGTGGTCACGAGCAACACCATCGTGGCCCTTGAATTGTACCCTATACCATGGGCAGCGCCCTGCGCCACCGCATCCACACTCCTCCAGGTCTGCCCGCCGGGGAGCACGAAGCTCTCGCCACCTGCCCTCCAGGACCGGATCCACGGAGTCCTCATGGTCCAGTCCCTTCCCGCGAGCTGCCCCTGGACCATCAGCAGCCATCGCAACCACACCTCTCCAGCCAAAAGTGCTGCCGGTAACTCCCAACTCACGCTCCGCCCGCGCTAGACCCGATCATCGCACCCCGGCGCTCGCATCCCCTAGCTTCACTCCATACTCCACTACACATCCCTTGCGCCTCGTCCAGCTCCGGCAGCCGTCAGCTTCCGCCAGCCTGCCAACGCACTGCGCGCCGGCGTTGTCCGCCCACGACCACTACACCGAGCAGTTTTCCGTGGCCTGCATAAGGGGACATACATGGGCAACGCCCCTCGCTGGCTGAAGCGACCTAGCGAACACCATGGGCAGCGCCCTTCTCCCCCAGGAAACGCATAACACAGACACCGCCTGCCTCTCACCCGACTCCAGGGGTGCTCCAGGAAACCCTACCCTCCCCACATCCAGGGCACCGTCCTTCCTCCCACCGTGGAACCACCCGCTTCCACACCCTTCCGCCCCCCCCCCCCCCCGGCCTACCGCACTGCAGACATTCCGCCACGCGCGCGTGCCACCCGCATGTACATGGCTACGGTCTCTTCCCTCGCTGGCGCGAGAACCTCGCCACCACCTGCCCAAGCTTCCGTTTGCGCTGCTCCGTCCTAGAACCAACACGCCACATGCCGCGGACACGGGCGCCTGACAAGCATGCGAAAATCTTCCCAGGGCACGTTACCACGGGCACTGGCTGGACCTCGTCCAGCGCAAATTCTACACAAAGCCTAGCCCCTTCCTGGGAAAATTCCTGAGCCTTGGCCGGGATTAAAAATAAGTTTGTCAATTTTTAGAGCAGATCAGGGATCCTACATGCAGCGGACATGAAAAAAAAAGCAACCCCTACCTGGGGGTGGTCTCTGCCTGGAAGCAAGGCTAGCGCTAAGGTTCTATCCCTTGGGGGTCGGCGGCTGCAGGCGGTAGCCTGGTAAATAACGTCCTTGCTACTAGTCCATTGCCAAACCCAATGATTTTGGTGAAATCTCAACCTGCAGCCTGGTGTCTGCAGGGTGTATGGCATCATGTGAAGAATGTCCAGGCTAGCTTGCCAGGACCCTCCCTTCTCACAGGCACTGATGGTAGTATTGAAGGACACCTCTGTGATTTCCTGGAAAGAGTAGCGGCCAAAAAACTTCTAAAGATTTTGTGAATTCAAGAGGTACTATATATTATATATTACAATATACATATACTACATATTTATCTATCCAACAGCGAAGCATGGAACATGCCCCCTTTGAATATTTTGCTCTACAGGGTTAAAGTGGTCAATTTTTGGCGCTTGATGTCATCAACAGTAGCTACTACACCCAGTAGAACAGCACCCTGTTGCCGCAACCGGCCTTCGGTAGCAGCTGCAATGCGAGCCACCAAAGGCCCAGTGCCTCGCATGCGCTGAGCACCGCATTTTGGCGCCTCGTGTCACCGTCGCCACAACCCAGCGCCAAAGTGCACAGTGCACAGCGCCAAAGTGCAGCCCGACCACAACTGATTGCTGAAGCTGTTGAGGTCAACGCATCCGCCCTGGAGTGTTGAACTAACAGCCCCGAGCCGGGGATGAGGTTGTGCGATGCTATTGCCACATTCCGGTCTGTATGCCGCATCAAACGCTGAAGGAAAAAACACAGCGGACACACACACACACACACTTCACAGGCCATGCAAGATCCAAATGTGATCCAGTAGCTTAAAACTTGCAGTACGCGTGTCATAGATTGAATTGTTAGGTCAAACCTGTAGTCCAAACATCTTTGGAGACAAAGCTTGATCCCCGCCTCAAACCCTGACGCGGCAAGCAGCTTAGAAGATGTGAGGCGAGATGCCACGGGCCATGCCAGGTATTCACTGAGCTCAATGCCTACGTTGAACGATTTGACGTGTTGGTTCTTCTCGACTATACAATTAACATCAATTAACCCATTTCGGTTCATATTTTTTGAATTGACAATCTTGACTTCTCCCCTGCGGTCCACAAACTGAAAAGAACAAGCAACCGGTAGTTCTTCTCCCAGTTGCTGTGTTGATGCTCACCACATCTATGACAATCCTTGCCACAAACATCATTTGCAGCAGCTGCAGGCTCCAGTGCCAGCCTTTGCAGGCATTCATGGCCGCGTTGCAGGCCACGAGATTTCTGCGCAACGATGTCCGAGAGATGCGCCGAAGAAAGTATAAGGCGCAGGTCTGTTGCTGGGCTTCGGCGCAAGTGTTGATGACAGTGCTGTAGGTCACCTGTCTGACAGTGAGTTCTCAAGGTCAGAAGAGCGACCAGTGAAGGCCATAGCATGTCCCAGTCGTTCACCCTCTAAAAGCTATTAGACCGAAGTAGCCTGCGTAGGGTGTTTAGTTTGCGCATCTATCATCCATTGATCTATTCCAATGGATTGAGTGCAGGTATGTGCGGGTCTTTTGTATCTCACTATATTCTTCCACTCTGATTCTTCGCGAAACACGCTGAAACTAAGCATTTCAGTCTCTGAATGATGCTGAGGCACCAAGTCAGGACTTACCTGATAGGAAAGGTATTTGAGCCAAACCAAGCTCAGCTGCCAGCTGGTTGCGTGGAGAACAGTATTGTGGCTCACCACGTTTGCTTGCACCCCTCGTGTAACCATGGCAAGCAATGCCTGGCTCGCATCTTCCCACCGCACCATCGACTTGATAAGGAAGTTCAGGTCGAGAGCCTCACAAGGAGGAAGTTCGGGTGTGCCGCTCGCAACGAGCCAAAGACGGTGCCAAGCCGGTTTCTGCCGCGTCTGAAACAGGATGTAACCGGCAAAACAGGCTTTACAGTAGCATGCCTGCTCCAACTGACAACAAAATCATCTGGCGCGGTTTGGCAACATCAGCTTTGACTGAGGATTGGCCTTTGACTTGGCATCGAACGATATCAACGCCCGCTGCCAAAGAAGAGCAGAAGCATACGTAGCCAAGCACGCAGTATGCAAGGACTCCTGAACGAAGGCAAACTTTTCTGATGTCGCTTGCAGGCTATTCTTCGCTTGAACATCCAGAAAACGGCGAAGGAAACTTCGAGGCTCCTCTTGGAACAGCGCACGACCCATCTCCAGCAAATGGGATGCAGCTCGCCAACCTCGAGTTGTGACGCCACGAGACGTGCCGCGGCTCCGCCTGGCGAGACGTCGCCGCGCGGCGCGCGTTCGGCTCCGCCTGGGGCGGTCGCACGACGAAGCGCCATGGAATCGATGCGCAAAGTTCTGGCCGGCATCGCCTGGAGCGTTCTTCGGGGCATGGGTCCCCAAAAGAGGTCTAAACCCACAGTACTCACACAAGTACTATCAACAATGATACCAAGCCCACTAAAACAACACACTGTACGGTGCCATCCAGTTCTTGGGCGGTCTGTCAAGCTTAGCATCACAACGATAACTTTATGGTTTTTGCATCTGCCAAGACAAAGGTGCATTCAGCAGTAAAGCTGCCCATTGCCAGTCATCGCAAAGGCTGTAGCTGATTGTGTCAGGCGAGCATCGCATGGCTGGCATGGCCTCTACAGTGGCATGAAGCCAGTCAGCAAACAACCACAAAAAACTTGATCCATTCATTCCTCAGAGAAAAAACATGTACTTTTATCATCCTTTATCAATCTGAATCTGAATCATGCTTTATAAACTTGCATTCTATTCAGACTCATTACTCTCATCACCATCTCAGTTTCCTTGTGTCTGGTTGCTTAAAAGAGCCGCAGTCGCATGGACCGACCCCATCGTCACAACGACATGCAAGAAAAACAAATAAATCACATTTTTTTTGCGCATGCTGGGCTGCGGCCTGAAGGAGTTGGAGAACAAGTTGCCACTGACCCTTTGTGACATTCAAAATGGAGTTGTAGGTCACATGGCTTGGTGTCACAGTCCTCAGTTGCAGAAGGATTGCCAGGCAGTGAAAAACATCTTCCAAAGAGGTCTTCTCTAGCCGTATGGTTTCCTTGTACCAGAGGGCGCCCCATGATGCTTCAGGAAAGCGCACGGTGGCGTTTTGGGATGCGACATGAACCCTCAACACGTGTGAAGAAAGAAAAACACACGATGCCTCTCGAGATCTCTGTCGCCCCTCAACGGCCTTGTATTCGACGGCCCTCAACTGGCGACGTTCGGTGACCGTTCGGGCTGGTTTCTGTGCCGAGTGTCTGGAGTTTCATAGAGAAGAGCAAGGAAAACACGTAAGCCCAAACTGAATTACAAGTCCTGTGGATGATCTGCACGACGACAACATACAACCCACACTGGAGTGCAGTAGGACAGGACATCACCCTCCAGTCCTGATTGTAGAATCAAAGGTGACCCTGTCCAAGGGGACACTTCTGTATGCAGAGAGCTTGCACAATTGCAGCGCAGATTGCCAGTGTTCGCAAGATGATTTCAACATGGCGCTGTAGGTAATGGTGTTGGGAACAACTGACACCTGCCAAGCTCCAGCAACTCTTGGAGACACTTATGGACCAAAACTAGAACTGCAAGGGACACCCTGGCACACACACAAGTGAATCTAAACAAGCCAACATATGAAACATCATTATCCCTTAAACTCAAAAAAAACAGGCTTCTCACTTCTAAAAGCCCATGGAAAAAGCACATTTCTGGCCTTTTTCATGGCGCACAAGAATTCGTTGGTGTACTTCCAAGGTCCAATCGCTTTCGTGAAGCTCCGGACATCTGCTTGGACTTGCAGCTGCGGCATCGACCACCTGTGATTGGCAGCGATCTCGTCTCCAAGGAGATGTGCAAAGCACAAACCGTATCAAACCCACGAAGAAGTTCAAACATCACCCAAGAAATCACCAACATCTGGCTTCGGATGGCTTCTGCAATGATGATAATCTGAAGCAAGGCACAGAATATAAAGAGATTGCCACCACAAGGTGCTGCCAGCCGCGGGGACAAGGCTGTGGTCGAATCGAATATCCTGAATGGGTGTCGGTTCTTTCGTGCCATTGTCTTTCGATCTTCGATGAGGTGCTTTCAAGTAGTAGAATCATAAAAAATGCATCGCATCCACCTGTGCACAATCGAAATGCAAACCAGCGCTCCTTCTGGATACCTTTCCCCGCCATGGTCTGCTGCAGTTACACAGCAGTGCTTTCTGGCCTTGATTGCATTTAAAACGTTAAACTGCACACACACACACAGAAGCATTGTTGTTGTAGTGACCATTAGTGACCCAACAACTCCATGAGCTGGTAGCGTGAAACAGGCGTAATCTTTGCCACCACTTATTTTCGATGCAAAGCAAGGCGCGGCTGAAAGGTATCTGAGGATTTGGTGGTGAAGAGCAAAGTCTTCGTTCACACATCGAAATGGCTCATCATCTGTGCCCCAAATCCTCATTGCAAGCACCCAAGTGCAGCAGGTCCCTTGAACGCCGACCATTTTGCTGAAAACGTATTCGCAACTGGACAGCGGAGAACGTATCCGTTGGAACGGTTTGTGCAACTGACAGGGTTCAAACTATCTCCAAGGAGAGAAATGGTTTGTGCAACTAGTAACTACAGCTAGCATGCATAAGTCAATCACACACGACACATGACTCTGCAAAGCTTCTTCTCACCAACTCTGCTCCATATTGCTCAGCAACATTGTCATAGCCCATATTACCGCTACCATCAAATGAGTTCTCTTGTTGCGCATTGATGCAGTGTAGTGTATTTTGATGTATTTTGCCTGTTTTCCCATATTTACCTTCACTGATCCTTCCGGTACACTTTCACCAATCTGATACTCTTTCGGGAAGCAAGGGTCCATTCAAACAAACAAGCAAACGGTGATGCTTTCGCAAGCCAAGTTGGCAGGTGTTGTTTGCTTTGAAGTGATCCAAACTGTTCTGTTTCGAGCCCAATCAGCTTTGGTCATGCCACACAAAGTCTCTGGCATACAAGTTGTGGCTTGTTTTGCAAAAGGCAAAGCGCATCTGCACCCTCCAAAATCTTTGCACAAAATTCGCCAAATCCTTCCAATTCATCTCATGTTGATATCTGCACAACATAAAATCTTGACTCACGGTTCAGACGGCTGCGTCACAATTGAAATGAACCTTGAAATGAACAACTTCTGTGATTTTGAAGAGACTGAAGACAACCCGTTCAACCCACTGTGACTCAGTTGGAAACCGTAGTAGCCATAGAAGGGATGCGGCGCCTCCGTTGAGCTGAAAGCCGAACACAGCTTGCTTCTTGCGGCGCCGATTCTCAGCAAAACACCTTCTTCTACACCTTCTGAGGCCTTCTACTCTTGCTGTACTTTGAGGTTGAAAAAAGAAGTGCACGCAAGAAAGTGACAAAGCCGTGACAAAGCCCTACAGAACCAGTCAGAACCCATGTCCAAGTGAGTGCTATTCCACTGTAAGCTTCTCCTGGGTGTCTATTTTCACCACTGAGACCCTTACCGGCATCGCTGCCAGGGGAGTGCGGACGCCCCGCCCCCTGATCTTTTGAACGGCTGCGGCGGCGGCGTTGAACACCATGGACCGACGCTCCGTTCGGATCGACGGACCGACGCGACGGACGGTCAGGATTGCAATTAAATTCTTATTGTTACTACTAGTAAGGCACTTGTTTCTAATAGCTTCTTGTTTCTACTAGTAAGGCACCTGTTTCTAATAGCTGCTGTTGACACTGCGGACACTGTCTCCAGCTTGCTTTTGACTCCGTGATGGGTGCTGCCGGCCTCATAGCATGATCGTTGATGGCACAATCTTTGAAGAACATCGTGTTTGGATTCCAATCATGATCTTGCTCATTGTAATCCAAGACATCTAGGGCGTTCATGCGCATTCTGGTGGCTTGCTCAAGGGTGCAACAATGGTTTCGCCATTTGTTCAAGTGAGAGCTACCATCGGCACAGGAACAAGCCCGGCCTGTGTGAGAGTCCCAGCTTGACATGAGGCAACTCCTGGCGGTCTGGGGGAGGACCATATACCCCATGAATCGAAGCCGAGTTCCATCGAGGTTCCCTTGCGATCTGCAGAAACAGCAAAGGGAAGGAAAAGCGTCGAATGCTGTGAGCTGTGTGATGCAACGGTCAGCCCGTTACGAGCCCCCAAGGGTCCCACGATGCCTTGCCCATTTGAGCAACAAGGTGAGCAAAGGCGCTTGGTCTGAATGAGATCAGCGCCTGCCAAACACATTGGCTCTTCTGTGCAGATCTGCATCCGGGGTATCTTTGGCAAAACACATCGTGGTTTGCATCAACCACCTCCCTGTAGAGCAGCGCACCCCCTCTGCCAATCAAACTCACATTAAAATTCATTTACTTTGCCTTGAAACACAGGCCAACCGACAACACACCTCTGACTGCTTGCAAAATATCTAACTTTCTCTGACCGACATGAGACCGCGCATGAGACCTTGGCCACCTCATTCGCATGCTCCACAGCGCTTCCCAGGGCCGGAAGGGTCAGGACCTCTGCATCAAGGTTTCACACACACCCTCCTGTGGAATTTGCCACTCCATAGATGGTTTCGCATATGATGTAGTGTAGTGTAGTATAGTCTAGTATTGATAGCATCACACCTCAAAATGTACTTGAGTTCCCGTTGAGCCAGGCAGAGCTTCAAGGGTTAATATCTTAATCTTCAAATAGGTTATGGTGGGTAGACGGATCTTCTATTTTTCAATATAAGCAGGCTTCATGCATTCTTCCAACCTTCAGAAAGCATGCACGTAATCCAAAGAAAAAGAGCCCATAGATTAGACCCTATTCCTGATCAATCCAGTCTTCTCGAGCTATTCAATTGTTCAAAGACTCCACGCATTTAAGGCATTTTTGCAACATCTGCCATGCCCAACGATGTAATTTAATTACTTTCTTTCTTTGTTTTCGGCTCTATGGGATCATATGTCATATGCGTTTTCGGCAAACGACATGGTTTCTTTCTTCAATCAACTCAGGCCAACCCTTTGACACACACACACACACACGCATCACATAGGAGTGAAAACTACAGTTAAGAAAAAAGAAAAACACATACAGAAACAACAGTAAAGAAGAACAAACACATGTGGTTGTGGTTGGCCGGTGCTTGCTGGTCAAATTGCTATGTGTACATAGCTATGGATCGCCACCGGTGAACCTTGGTTGACCAGTGGACCTCAAACGGAACAAGAATGGACCCCTAGGGACGTCAACCAACCAGGCGTTGGGAGTAGTCGATCTCGCGCTCAGATCTGCTCACTTCCTGACCCTTGCTCTAGGAGTGGGTTGACCCACTCCTACGTGAAACTCTGAAATCGAACTAATGTTTAATGCTTCATTCGTATCAAGCAGGTCATCCTTAATTAACAAGAAAATTGCAAGCAAATCCAGATCAAATTCGATTTATATTGTGCCCCAAAGTCAGTGTATTAGAGGCGTAATAATGGTCAGATTACTGACAGCAAATGAAATGAACTCCAGAGGTGACCATTATTGCGGCTAACCCAAAATCCTTCAACAAAAAAGATTGGGGATGTACGCCCACCCCCTATTATTAGGAATCTCTAACATTACGAATAGAAAACAGAAGTGGTTAAGCAGGTGTCCTCTAAGAGCAGTAAACCTGAACCTGGTTGAAAAAACACCAATGACAGTCCTGGCAAAGCACATTGAACTAACTCGAGATGAAGTACAAAGGTTGGATCTGTCTCTTTGCCCACAAATTCTGAGCTGTTCCTTTTGAATCCCTTTGGGGAAATTGCTCATCTCTACTTTGCGCTTCTGACTGTTTTCTACTATATATACTAGTTCTAATTCAATTCGTTATTCGTTTTTCCTTCCTCTTCTCTTCGTTAATCACAGGGACGTGCAAACAGCACATGAATAGCGTTTCAATTATATAAACACTTGGAGGCTGAACAACCCTGACACACTAAGGAAACACACCCAACCGGAAAACATCTGCTGAAGAGTAGAAACATCATAGTCTTTTGATATATCATGATTCATGATATATCTTTGTCTTTGTTTGTTTTTGGTCCTTATCCTTTGACGGTGGTGACCAATTTCTTTTGGTACAAGATTCAACATTATTCACAATTTGCACATTGTGTTGAAACTCCAACATCGCTGGGCTCTGCTTGCACTGTGGAGAGATAACTATTTGTTGGGTGGATTAGCCAATGTACTTTCTGAGGTAATAATTCAGCCTCATCCTTCCCAACAGGCTTTGAACGTATTTTCAAGCTCCGTTTGCACCCCGCAGAACCTCCGGCCTCAACACCAGCTCGAGAAAGAAGTTGTCGACGTAGTGAAGCGTGGCCCGGTATAGCTGACCAAGGGCACAAGTCAAGGATCAAAGACCTCAGCACGTGCTAGTAGAAAATGGTTTTTTTAACAGACTCCCGGGGCACTTTTGACTCTACATTCAACTTACCGAGTCTGCTTCACAGCAGAATCTGCTGTCTTACGCAGTTGATTCAGGAGAGACTCAAAACATTGCTTGGCACTTGGTATTGCTGAGATCAAAAAACAGTTGCTTCGAGCAACTCTTCAGGCAGTTCCATGGTTGCCGCTCCAAGATTGTAGCCCCTGACACCAGCGCTTTCCAATGCAGTGCAAAACAGTGGGTCCTCCAGGTACGGCAACTCATCACACAAGCTTATTTTACGCACTTTCACACAATGCTTTGACCAAAGTGCTCAGAATGTTTGGAATTACAACAGCTTTGTCCGAATCTTGTAAACTTTGAGATATGATACATGATCAAAAAACAAGAAGCTCGTATTCTGGTTCAGCTCAAAAGGCACATTTAGGTTGATTTGATACAATAGTTTCTTTGACCGCCGACGTGCCACCCCTTTTTCCCAAAAGCATCTCCGATGGTTGGGTTCTCGTTTAGTCGCTAGTGCCGCGGAAGAGCGAGACAAAGCGTGCGTTGTCGGGGGTGGAAGATGGATGTGGAGGTGGACAGGGAAGATGGAGGGGAGCGAGACGGGAGGCGCATGGGTGGGGACGGGGCTGGGGAGGGAAGACGGGGCTGGGGAGTGCATCAGTGTGGACGCTTGCGGGGCTGATATGCTAGTTACGAGGACATGGTTGCACCACAAGCATCATTGCAGGCTGCTCCGGGTGAGTGGACAAGCAGAACGAAGCATGGGTGGGGGTAGTGCTGCTCCATGCTTCGCGGAAG